GAGTCCTGGGCCGGTATCATCACGTATCCTTTTCTTCCATTCACCCATGGGAACTTCATCGATGTTAGCCATGGTGTTAGCGGGTTCGCCTTCAAAGTCGCTTTCTTCTTCGGATTTAGAGTCAAACTTGCTTTCCTCGCTCTTTTGACTGCTAGACTCACCCGTTTTCTTGCTTTTCTTCTTCCCTAAGACTGATTTAAGGTCCTTGAAAGGTGATTTCCTTGACGGGTTAGTGTCTTCAACGGCTTTGTCTTTGTTCTTTCTAAGAGTGGATTCCGGATCTTCATATGGAGGAACCAGAGGTGTGTTTGAACCTCAGGTCATGTAATACCTGCAATCAAAACAAGAAACACGCATAAAAAGAACAACATGAAATAAAAACGAAACTGGAAATCTGCCTTGGACTTGTCGAGTACTTGCGAGTGGACTCGACGAGTTTGAGGGTAAAACAGAAAAAATATATATATAAAAATCCTAAAAATACAGAAAAACTAAAACCTTAAACCTAATAACTAAATTACTAAAGCAGTAACTTTGTGCAAGATAAATCTCACACAAAGGATTGATAACACTAGCAATTAAAATTAATTTTAGAACCGTTCACCAACAACGTCACCAAAAACTTGATGTGTGTGAAATACACTAGTTTTAGTCCTACTTTTAAAATATATTTTAGACACACAAAGACATTGGACCTGTCAATTGGTGGTATAATTGAATAAGCAGGGTATCGAACACAGGGAACGACAATTAAGCTAATTACTAGAATTATCTAAAACAAGTAATAAAAGGGAAATGTTTTCTCTAGTTTTGCAAGACTAGAAACTTAAAAAATTAAATAAACTTAAACTAGCAACTAACAGCTAAAGAAAATAAACAATCAACTAGATTCAATAATGGAGAAGACTTATGTTTAGGTTCAATTCATTTACTCCTATGGTTGATTTCATGGCAAGTGCAATGGATTAATTGTAATTAACTACCGATTAATGTGATTAGGTTCACGTTCGCTATTACTAATCCTTAGGAAACAAATCAATTCAAGCAGTGATCAAATGATTAAACTAATAAATTTCCTAGTTTACTGATTCGGGTTAAGTAAGACTTGTAGTTAGCTAATCAAATTACTAATTCAATTAACCTCGTGTTGATGGTTCATCACACAAGCTCACACATTAACTTACCTATTTTCCACTTAACCCTAGTTTCACATTCGTTATTCTTAGGCACATAACAATGTTTTCACATAAATCATATGAGATAAGCACTTAAGAGATGTTCATGCAGCTTAATTTACTTGGTAATTAACAGAAAATAGTTGTTGTTAACACATAAGGTTCTTTAACAAGCTTAACAAAACTGAACTCACCTATTGCAATTAATCCACCCATAAATCAAACCATAGTCATAACTTCATCTACCCTAAACAGAAGATATGAGTTTTAGCTCATAATTACAACACAAAGTAATTCAAAATGAAATCTAAAGGTTCATACATAGTTCAAATAAAAGATTAAGTAAAGAGTAAACTAAAATTGCCTTTGATCTTCTCGAGATTGAAAGCTAGGGTTGTTCCACGAATTCCAGAGCTCCATTTATACCTTCAGTCGCAGATTAACTTCCAAGGTTCCCGAGAAGGGTTTAGTTTCGGGCTTAGGTGTTCTATTTATAGATTTCTGAAAACAGAGGCTACTCGCCGAGTCCAATAACCGACTCACCGAGTCTCTCATTATAAAAACCTGTGTACGACAAGGTATTCTGCATGCTTCACGAATGTTCGTGTCTACTCGTCAAGTAGACATCCGACTCGCCGAGTAGACATGGTTTTTGACTCTTTTTCTTCTTTCTTCAATTCCCGAGCTCCCAATTGCTATTCCCGCTTCCTTTTGCTTCGGAGCACATCTTTTAGGCTGAAAATACAATTTAAACATAATTAAGTACCTTTTATCCATAAATTGCAATAAATTAGCCAAAAAGTATTAAAATTCTATACGAAATATGTAGCTAAATATGCACATATCAACATACCTGTATCTCGATCAATTAGGTAATATATTTCATTTAATGAATAAGAAGTAATGTTGTATGATATTCCAGTATATTATTCAATGTATGTTTATAGCCTGAGATCCAACACCATTATGTCGCATATCATGATGTTTCTGCCGCTCGGTCGGGGGTGTGACATATAAGTTCATTGATGTACCTTATTCCTCCGTGGTTTCTTTGTTAACAGTTGTTATGGAAAGCACGCTTTGTTGGTTATTCAAAGTCCATCTAACCAATAGTAGTTGATGAATTATCCAAGTAGAAGATTGATGGAAATATGTGTCCAATATCATAACTAATTGGTGTAACTTAGAGAATAATAGCAAAGTAATTTTTGGGTTGCCCTCACGAGCAAAAATAGTTAGAAATAGTTTTACAAGATTCAGAAAATAGTTTATTAATTTATTACATGTTCATAAATTAATTAGAAACTAGTTGAAATAAATTTGGGATTAATAGAAATTAATCTAGATGTACATGAACTGAATATTACTTGTTCAATAGTTGAACAAAAGGAAGTTATGGAAACCCTAGGTGGTGAACGGTCTTAAGGAAGTCCTTAGAGGGTTCCATAATTAATCCAAGTAACAGATAAGGTAGTGATTTGAATCAGGATTAAATCTGAATATTTAATTGATTAAAATCAGGATTATCCTGTTACCACCACAATTATATAAAGGGACATGGGGAGCTCATTATTTTCTTCCCTCTCCTCCTTCCTGAAAGGCTGGGAGTTTGGTGCATCCTCTCTCTCTCTCTCTCGTCTCTTTCCTTTAGTTTAGTTTTTAGGGTTCTTGACTTTTGGGTGTGAACAATTAGATATATGCTACTTTGGGTACTGGTATTTCCAAAAAGCAACAGGAAGATCAAGCAATAAGTGACAATTTGATTTTGTCAAAGGTTAGTATTCGATCCTTTCTTTTTATCTTCTTTGTTTAGTTTTAAAAATATGATGTTATAATAGTAAAACTTAGATCCTATGGTGCATGTACACTTAGGAAGAATTTTGTTTGTTTCCACTATCATAATCTAGTGTATAGTTTGCATAGAAAACCCAATAAATACCTATAAACAACTTGCGTGAAGTTTCACAAGAACTCATAAAGAACCTAAAATACATAAATCTCAACAAGGTTTCACAAGAACCTTCAAATAGAAATCACTAAAAGGTTTTACAATAACCTAACTATAAACACTTCATATCAACCTTTGATTTACCGAACCCACTTATTTAAAGAACAAATCAATCCAGTTTATACTAAGATTTGGGTTAGAATACGTTTTTGATGAAGAAATCTGAATGTTTAAAACTGAAGTTTGAAATTCCCAGCAACGAATCAATTTGAAAATTTACATCTTCATATTTCCAACTCTCACCTCCCTTTTCATATCGAAAATTTTCCCCATTATAGAAATCCAGAAACATTAACAATAAACATCCTTCAAAAAGGGTTGAAGAAGTTAACCATACATGTAGGATGCCAAGTTAGCCAAATAACCAATAAAACAAATAAAACAAGCAAGTAATATTGTCACTTTCAAAACCATGAGGACCTAAAAAAACAAATTAATACTTCGTTACCTTTTTATAACATTAACTTTATAATTTTTTTAGGGCCAAAAGACTAAGAAAAACACATTAAGTTTTTACAAGAATTACCACACCTCCGAAGAACCGATAATGCTAACCTTTGTCTTCCCCATCCTTGCCTTTTCTATTTAATGGAAAAAAAATAAAAATAAAAATTGAGTGAGAATATTCCTCCGGCGCTTAGATTCTTCACCATCACCGGCAGCTGAACCACTTCTAGATCTTCTTTACCATCCACTTTCACTTCTGTTTCTATGTGTACTTGTTCTTGTACGGTTTAAAGTAGATCTAAAGTTATATTTTAGATCGTGTTAAATTAGCATCAGATGCAAAAATAGGTTTTAGATCTATGGAGAAGAGTTTCTCTGTAACTGAAGTACAATCGAAGACGCAAAAAAATCGATTATCGGCTGAGCGAAGTTGAACTCAAGAGACTCGCTTTCGAACGACAATTTTTCGACGATCCAACTCGTTCTTAAGGTGATTTAAATCTCAACTCAATTAAAGATAATCGTTTCCTTTTTAATATGTGATATGCAAATTAACGACCGTTGATTTATTCTGACTTTTTATTGTTGGTGATAATGTGGGCATCTGATGTTAATGTGTTCCCCTGTTTCTTCGTTTAAAGAAAATTATAAATCAATCCTGACAATTTTTTCTGCAATTCTTGATTTTGTAATGAAATTTAGCATGTTTTGCGGATTTGTATGTTATCAGCTCAATTTCTTATTGCCCTTTTGTTTTATAGAAAAATAATTCACCCTTTTATGTAGCTTATACCAGGTTTGAAAACCTTTTATATCTCTTTTATTAAAAAATTGTAGAAACTCCTTCCATTATTTCTCATCATTTATAATGCATCTTTAAAGCCTTACAGAAATCACAATACCAACTTTTCCAGCATTATGATTGTGGGAATTTTTGTATTTTTGGTGATATCATGAAATAAGCAAAGTTTATGTATATATATACACTGATGTAGATTGTTTATGGTAGAATATATTCATTTTAGTGGTGGAAACTAGAAAACAGAATTAGACATATTCGTGATTCTTTTGTATAAATGACAGATCAAGAGCAAGTCTATGTCCCACCTTTTGGTGTACCTTTTGTCCAATCAACACCCGTATCAATATCAGTATCAGTCCAATACATGTCAAACACAATACAGTCTGTTCTGTCATGCATAACAAACTGTCGTCATTGCCAACAAATGTGTTTTTTTTTGTGTGTCTATGAACATCATTAAAATTGCCACATCACACAAACAAACTCCATCTAATTTCATTTCAGAACACTCACGCGAAAATAAACAAAAAAAACATCTTTTCGACATTGGTACAAATTCAATTCAACCATGGAGACACCACTACCAACACAAGCAAAGAACAACACTCTAAAACGTCACAAGTCGGTTGACCGGTTTGACTACATCAACAACGAGAATCTAAAACTTGCAATCCCAATCGGGCCCCGTTTTCAAGCCCATGTACCCGAATGGACCGGCCCACCTCACAAAAAGACCCCCCACAATTCTCTAACCTCTTCAAAATGGTTAGGCACAGTGACATGGTCATCAACCGAAACTACAGAAGGTGACATCATCGTGATTGGGAAAGGAAGACCCGAATCTTGCAATTGTGCATCAAGTGGGTCCATCATGTGTGTGAAGCGCCACATCGCTCAAAAATCATCCGAACTACAAAAAGACTTGGGACCCGCTTTCCATAAATGGAAGTTTGATCAAATGGGAGAATCGGTAGCCAAGTTATGGAAGCAACCAGAGCAGCAGAAGCTTACACATCTAATGAAAAGGGTGCCACTTTCAAAAGATATGGATTTTATAAAACCTGCATTGGAATGTTTTCCATTGAAATCCAAGAAAGATATAGTGAGCTATTATTTGAATGTATATGTTCCTAGACGAATGAGTGTGCAAACAAGGTCTGGTTGTATAATGGTAGATACAGATGATGAAGAAAAGTCAAAGGGTGGACCTTGTTCTAAAGTGTCTAGGAAAAGGGCTCGAGCTGATGCTACACCTTTGACCAGTTCTAAACTTGTGTTGACCAAGTATTTAACTGCACGAAGATGACATGGATGAGGATTTGAGGAGGCTGCTAGCTTTGTACCTGTTTTCAGCATTAGTTAGAGAAGATAAGTCTTTTCTTTTCTCCGGTAATGTATTTATTCTTCTCGGTATTTTTTTTTTTTTTATAATATATATATTTAAACATCTCCCTAATACTAGAATTATATTGTGGGGAATCATCACTAGGCCAAAAGTTTGGCATCTTTAGGTAGGGATTTGATGAAGTTTTGCCTTAAGATCACAAGTCAACTTGCTTTGTTTGGTTAGATTATGTATCTCTTTTGCACAACTAAGGCCTTGCTTTTTTTTTTTTTTCACTTCAAGTGATATTTGGATAGATGGTGTTTAGAAAATATTTGAGAGAATGATGGTGAGCATGTGGATATGAAATGGAAAAACTAAACGAGGGTAAATTTGTAAATTTAGGACTTATTGGTGGGAATGGGCGAGAGTAAACTAACATGGGTGCCGGTAATAGCATTTAAAAGTTGGGCCTGTCCGCGACCCATTATGAGCCCATCCTCAACCTATCCCCAATCCATTCCTGACCTATTAGTATATTTTTCTTCTCTTATTATTCAAGTTCATTATAAACAAATTAATATTTTTCGTGATAGTTGGTATTTTTAATAAAAGTATTTAAGCATTATAACGTAGTATATTAACACAACTTTTATTTTCATCTTCTACAACTTACATTTTTTCGAAAAAGTGAAACATGGGATGAAATGGTGTACGGTCGAAACGAGTTAGGGCATAATGTATCCTGCCCCGGCCTCGTCCTTGATTTTTGCCATATGGGGATCCCTGTCCCTTGATCTGGTTTTCCGGGAATATATGGCCTCGATCAATGCGGAGGACTGGTCAACCAGGTTCCCCATTGAATTGGGGGTAATATTTTCATTTGTAGTAAAAAAATAATAATAATAATAAATAAATAAGACTTTTTGCATCCAAATAGGTTTTTTTTTTTTCAAGTGCTTGTAGGGTCATATAAACTATATTTTCTCATATTTTGAATACTAGTTTATTAATAACAAAGTTGCAATAATGGTCTCAAAACTTGTAAATTTGGTCCAAAAAGGATTGGATTCATGACAATGGTTCAAAATTTTGATTTTGTTTCGAGTTTGGTCCAAAGTGTTATAAAGTTTTTTATAATGACGGATTTGTTTTTTATTATTTTATTTTCTAATTTTCTTTTATTACAACAATTAAAAATAAAATACCTCTCTCTCTCTCTCTCTCTATTGATGCAAAATCACCACCTCCTGCCGGACCTCCACCACTTATCAGACCACCATAGTCACCATCGACTCTTTTTTTTCGCTAGACCATCCTAGTCACCATCCACTATTTTTTTGTCATCCCACACCTATCACCTAGGTCTAGTCGGCTCTGCAACGTCATCGAATCTGAAAGCCCTAAACTTCGTCACCACCTCCGCATTCCACCTCGAACGTAAGAAACCACCAGAGCCACCTTTCTCATCGTCGTCCTTCTCCGACGAGCCTTTTGTTTTTGTATAAGACAAATGATGGTGACGATAAGACGAAGCACAATGTAGAAACCCTTCGTCGGATTTGTGCCCACAACAAAACCTAGAGCCTTCATTTCTCTCCCTCTCCGACATTTCATTATTCACACGAGTTAGGGTATTTGTTTGTCAAAGTTTAGATCTGCATATGGCAAGCTTAAATAAAAAATTCAACTAAACAAATGCAAAAAGTGTAATATTTTTAATAGCTAATAAGATATAATGCATTGTTAATTGAAATGTCAAATCAACTAAAAATCTCAACAATTATTTTATGATAATGAGTTTTTTAAGAAAGTGGTTTTTATATTAATAAAGAACGTGATATTAAATTGTATAATATATTACAACTAAAACATCATTTAAGATTTCAAAAAATCATCATAACTAAAATTAAAAAATTGTCAAATAGTTTATTTTTAAACCAACTACCCATAAGGCTATGTGTTATATACATAGCAGTCATGACAAGGTCATAATGATACCTAAGACGACCATGTTAATTAGAGACCATGTGATGACAAACCAATGAAACCATCTATCTTCATTTTTTTTTTCTCGGTTACATATACAAACGAATGTCACTTCTAAATAGATATATAAAATGATCACATACTATAATTTTAAATAATTGTGTTCTTTGATGTATTAGGATCATAATGTTGTCTAGAGCGGCCCGCTGACTAGAGACCTTGTGGTGGTGAAGGATATGTTTTCTTTTTCTATTTTTTTCTCTGTAACGTGATACGGATATACAAATTAATGCCACTACTAAAACCAATAGATATATAAAATGATAAATTAACTATACTTTTAAATAATTGTTTTCCTTAATGTATGATTTATTACATTAAATTATTGAGTAATGTTTTTATAAAGTTTTCTTGAATTTAAAGATTTTAGGAAATAAATTATCCACTTTAACAAAACGATATTTTTTCAGATGAACTTTTATGATTTTAATAAGTTTTAATTACTTTTAAAAATTAACAAACAAAATAGACACTTATATTCGAATTATTATAATTTAGAATATATATATATATATATATATATATATATATATATATATATATATATATATATATATATATATATAATCCTTTATAAGTTCAAAAAGTAATTTTTTAAATAAAAAATAACTCAAATAAAATATTATATTGAACATCACATTTCAGTTAATCATTTAAATGTTATTAGTTAAAAATATATAGATTATAAGATATAGTAATTAATAGATAAATTAAAAAGTTTTGTAGTTTCATATTAATATATTAATATGGTTCAAGATAAATTAATATGGTTTAAGATAGCTGATTATTTTAAACCATATTAAATTGGATGAGTTATTATTTGTATCTACTAAAATAAAGAGTTGAAAATATAAAAGTTCGTTAAAACCTAAAACTATTTTATTTTACCAATATTTGTGCATGGTCGACGTCTCTTTTTTTTTTTTATGCGAACATTAATTTCATCCATATTTGATCATTCTAACAACGATACCAAGTTTGATAGCATTTTAGGAATAATATTTGAATATGTTAATTCGTCCTTTGCTTTAAAGGAATGTAAGAGAAATTATTGCCTTGTGGAAGCATCTCAAATTGAACATTGTTGCAACACATGTTTCAATATGTCTCTAACAACTTCTATGATATCCTCTTTGCATGCCATTCCATATTTCACTGCATTATTTATTTGAAGGAATGTAAGAGACATTGTAAATTCTCATTTTGGTGAGTATTGAGATCTAAAACTCAGGTTATTGTATGGTTTTTTATTATTATTATCTTTTTTTTTCTTTTTAAATCACTTTCATTCTCAAGGACTAAAAATACAATTAAATATACTTCAGAGGCCAAAGATGATAATAAATAAATAAAATCAAACATCTTCGTGTTATATATAAGAAACCATCGAGATTTGCTTAAGAAAAAATCAGCTCCGATCATGATGTCGTGAAAGGGTGGCCACGTTTGGTTAGGATCTTCATTAGCTCCGATCGAGGCTTGTTATTCTTTCAATACGTTTATGTGAATTTAAGGGCTTGTTTTTATTTGTTTTAAACTTTTAATGCTTTCATATATGAGATTGTCATATGGATGCTAACATGGGTGTCACATGTGTTTCAAATATAGTGATTATATGTTATATAGGTTGCTTTAGGTGAAGGTGACTAAGGTATTGTTTGTTTTTTATCTGCAGATCTTCTTGGTCTATTATGTCTACGCCGTACATACCACATGCAAACATTAGACTTCACAGATTGTTTGTTTTTTTGAAGACTCCAAACCTAAAAAGGTTTACGTGTCCTCTTCTTGGTGTAAATGTTGATATAAGTCTTCAAACCTCTTCAAACATCTTAGCCTAAAGAAACATATATTTTTGTTTGTTTGTTTGTTTGTTTAGAACTTAGATTTATTCCAACTTTATCTATGATAAACAATTTTTAATAAAAACGTTTTAATACTTTAAGGAAAAAGGTTCGACGATACAATCATGATTTTTGTGATAGATTTATAAATAAAGATTTAGTTATAATAATCATTGGAGCTATTTATATAGATATGAAAAACAAAAATCCTAGTATTGTCTAATATTTTTATGCCAAATTTTATAAAACATTATTTTAATGCAGTATCATTCATTTATTGGGAAAAATATTTATGTCCAGTTTTTAATTGATTGAATGGAAAAAGTAAAATGAAAATTTTTAAAATTTTCATCTAAAAACAAAGTTTATTTCCATCCATTTTATGTGTTAAATTCTTTTATCGTTAATCACAATGTTTAGATATAATTTTACGACGAAAGTTTGATGATTTTTATCAAATATATATATTAATTTGTATCATTTTATTATAACTTTTTATACAATAATACATAAAAGTTGATCTACATTTGTTAAATATCTATAATAAATTCATAAAATTATTGAAAAACTCTTATATGTCTTTTTTTAATCAGTTTAATTAAATTTTAGTTTATTTTAACAGTTTGCAGATATTAAAGAAACAAACAATCATCTTCTTTCTAACTACAGAGGTCTACTGATGTGGTCCGCAGACTGCATACATTTTGCCTCAGAAAAAACAAACAACACCTAAAAAAGCAAGTCTGCATCCACTTTATGCCCCCGTAAAACAACAAAATAAATTTAGGGATTGAACTGACCAACTTTAGAGACATTGTAGGGCTTTTCTATCATTTCCACTAAGTTTTAAACCATGGATAGTTCACACAAAGTATTAGATGAAACAACTCAATGAAATTTGTAAATTTGAAGTTGTGAATGTATAGTTTTCTTATATTTAAATTGTGAATATTGTTTGAATCCATGAACTTTTGTGTTAACATGTGAATGATGAATATATTATAGTAAGTTTCAGCAGTGAGTAGAAAGGTGAAATGAAGGTTTGTGGGTTTTCTTAAGTTTTTTGTAGACTTATATGATGAATATGTAAAGGTTTGTTAAACCAATTAAAAAAAAAAAAGATATAGGATATGTGGAGGAAGCTTACCCCAAGGAAGAATAGGAAACTCCCATCTTTGTTTAGGAACTGTGATCACATACGAGGCAACCTGCAAGACGAATAAATAACTATCTTTTTGGATTAGACAAAAAAAATTGCAAAATTTACTCCAATAAATAAATCTTTTTTTTTTTGTATTAAAAATTGGTAAGAAACATGCCAGGATTGATGCAGCAAGAGAATGAGGAGAATTATAAAGAGTTGATGTCTCCTCTTTTTCGTAAAGAAGATCCATAATATCCATGCATACTTCAAAATCCAGATGCTCTCCAACTGTTGCAACCTCCCTAAACTCAAACAAAAATATTATTATTATTAATTAATCAGTGATCTAACAAAAAGTAGTTACCAAATGAAAAAACAAACAACTTGAAACCACTCACTCACTTCAACTGAATAAGTAGGTCTTCAAGAATCCTGTAGACAATATCTGATGTACCAATCTCATAATCCAAGACCTTCATGAAGATCACTTCCTGAACAATTTTTTCAACTATTGCTATCAGAATCACAACCATAAAGATTGAAAAAATAATAATGGTAATAAAATTAGCTTACAGCTTCTGCAAAATCTCTAGTTGTATAATGCTGATCTTGTATTATCTTGTCTGCTAGACTTTTCAACTTTTTTACCGATAAGGGACGAGAAGCATCAATCTGCAAGTGGTTTTAAATTTATTAGGAAAAAAAAATGATTTTTTTTAATTATTGGAAAGATATAATGGAGTTTATTTGAAGTAATAAAACTGTAGGTTGAGGTAATCAGGTAACATTAACATACTTTGCTTGAGATCCATATTGCAATGAGAGAAAACAGCTGAAGATTACTTTCTCTTACTGGTTGTAAAAGCCAGTGTCCAGTGCTCTCTTGATCAAATCTGTTCAAGGTGAAAACTAAAATAATAAAACAACTCACATAAACACACAAAATAGCAATATCTTTCATTTCTTTGTTTATTATAAACAAAACATATGGATAAAAGAAATTGGAATCTAAAAGAATAGAATTCTATCAAATGATTGGTTGGCTAAGCATTTGTGAGGGAGAAGAGGGAAAGAGAGAGAGAGAGAGAGAGAGAGAGAGAGAGAGAGAGAGAGAGAGAGGCGTTTACTTGAGATATTTAAGGATAAAAAGGTATTTGAATGTTATTTAATAAGCAGGAAACGTTGGGAATTGCATTTCATGGATTTTAAGATGGAATTTTGATATCCATGGGTCAGAAGAGAAGACTTTGTACATTCATCATTTGCAATAAAAAACGAGATTAGAATGGAATTGAATTCCAATAGAATCCGTTGAACCAGACGCCTCAACCATTTAATCTGTTAACTTGATATAAACTCCATAACCGAATCACAACTGGCCTTGTAACATGTTACTTAAATAAGAAAAGGGTAAGGGCAGAGAAATTTCTGGCAAACTAAACCGTTAATGATGGTATTGTTGATTAATATATACCTAATTTTTTAACCAATATAGGAATTCACAGATGGCAATGACTTGATTTACACATCTATGCCTCTCAACATGAATGATCGATAACTAGGGTTTTAAGACCACGTAATTTACGCAGCTAGGGTTTTGGATTGATTCAGATATGATAACAATGAGGAAATACAACTACTGATAACTGACAGATCTCGATATTAACTTTTTCAGATGCAGACATCAGTTACAGAGAGAAGGATGTAAAACATAAATTACCTGGAGATAATCGGGTAGAATCTTTCGGCAAAGAGGGATAATGCAGAGTACTTGACAACGGGAGGAACTTCAAGTTGCTGTTTGTATGATACAATTTATTCATAATTAAAAACGGACATATATCAAGCAAAAATGGCGATCTGATGAGGTTTATGAATGATTACTTGAGCGGATTGGATGAGGAAATCTAGTATGCGGATTCGCACAGTTGAACACCATTCGTTCGTCATAATTTTGGCACGGGAATGGATCCGCTAATCGGGATGGAGGGAAACTCAAATTAGAAGATACATATAGTGCCGGGTCGGGTACCCGGTTAATTTGACAAGTTGGAAGTGGAATTGCCGGTTCTGGATCCAATACCGGGTATGAACCAACTCAGTCCAAATCAGGTTGAACCGGTTAGAATCGGTTTAAACTTGGACCGGTTTAAAAATATATATATACTATTAACTTTGAATTCCCTTTACACATATAAGAAAATTCCTAGAAAGCTTCTTATTTGGAAAAAGTAAATGAGAGAGGCCTTGAAGGATATGAGGCATGGAGTTCATTTATATAGCAAATGGGGAAGAACAAACTTTTGTCTAATTAGCGATCTGAAATGAGAATAATACATGAAGTTGTCATCTCCTTTTCTCACTTTCTTTTCATAATAACATAATTACATATTTACACATTAGTCAATTAACAAGCAATATGTAATTCATGGTCAATCAAAATAATATATATATTAAAGAACATTACGATTATATTTGGTGAAGTTGTTCGCCCCATTTGATTACATATATATAACCTCTTTCTTTGATTTTTTTTTTCGTATAATATTAATAAGAAAACATGTCCCTAACTTCATGCATAAAGTCAGAATATTTACTTATTTTAATGGTAAAAATGTTATAATAATTCAATGTGTGTTTTTAACATTAGATGTGCTCAAAGACTATTTCATATACTTTGATGATAAAATGTTCCATGTGTATCTATTACAATAATGTTGAGGAGATTATACTGCTTTATACAATTGATTTGCTCAAGTCAATATACTAACGAAAAATGTTGCTACTATATTAGGAATTGTGCCCCAATAATTCTCTTTGGAATGATCTCACTTCTCTCTTACATATGTGATTCAAATATAATCATTAAAAACTAAATTTTGATTATTTTCATGTTAGCATCAAAGCCTATTAGCTTAAATTATATCATTTTTCTTCATATGAATGGGTTGGGATTATCCCAATAGTGATCCAATTTTGTTATATTTAATTAAGTTTTCCCTTTTGAAACTAGATTTTAGGATCTTCGATCAACTTAGGTTGGGAATGTTTACTATCATCAATATAGTTACAACATAGTCACTTTTGAATATCTCTATAATTGTGTTAACTTAATACATTAAGCATACATACATGTATTTATGAATTCACATCGGTTAGATGTAAATATGAACCTACGATATATGGGTCTCCTTGCCAATATCATATTTTTAATGCAATTTTTACGTTAACCATTTGCATGTAATGGTTAAGACATCCTCTTGCAAAGATCCTATTTATCAAGGTAGTCATAAATAGGTCAATGTGGGGCTAGCCCACTTGGTAGAGTTGGAAAGCATCTTAGATAGGAGGTTTCATGTTCAAATCCAAGTCTAAGTAACTAACTAACTTCTAACCATTAACCAAACGTTCAGGAAAAAAAAAGATCATAAATAGAATAATCTTTATATTACCATTTATATGGAGCCATTTCACCACAAATATTAATGTTGAGTCAATACTTCAACATTACATATTCACATTTTTGATACTATTGTTTTAAAAGTTTGCTTTAAGTCACATATTGACTTCACAATTTCACACTTTTACTTTACCATCCGAAAACATAGTCGTTGGGTAATTCATGTAGATTTATACTTCTAAATCTATGTTAAAGAAGTTTCACTTTCATATGATATACTTCTAAATTTTTAGAAGTTACACCCAAATATCATTATAAAATAAGATCATACAAATTAAAGTATTCAAAGTATTCATATCATTCTTATGTTTGCAATCCAACCATGTACTTCAAAAATGTCATCGGCTCTTACTTCTTATTTGAACCTTAATAATTTATTTCTTACGGAAAACTCAGTAGTTCAAACGATAGAATGATTATTAGTTCTTAGTGAATTGAATTAAGTTATGCTTGGGAAACAGCTGCATGTGACTTGATCAAACTTAATCAATCATGTTGGTTAATACCCACGAAAAAATGTCATCTTTTAAAACACGTAATAAAAGTAGTTAATGAATTTAAGAGATCTCGTGAATGGCCTGTAAAGTCGCTTTATGTCAGGAAAAAAATGATCTCACAAATGCATAGGATAATTTTCACGAATTGAATGTCATTTTATTGTGATCTTAGGATATCACATTTAGCACATAAATTATTTATAAAATGAACAACAAAAATTATACCACCTCTACCTACCCATTGTCTCCATATATATCACATCCTTCAAACATGACTATATAATCTAGAAACATAAAATTAATCAAATTCAAATTCATTTACAAATTGTTATGTTGTGTAAAATGTAAATCCAAAACTTCTTAATTAATTAAATTCAAATCCTCCACACATTGCAACTGTATAGAAAGGTTAGACATTTACGAATGTGTTGTTAATTACTTACTTCACAAAAGGAATCCCAGACCAAACCCGTTGAGCATAAGCATCATGTTCCAACCCAAAAAATTGTTTCAAGAAAAACTCCTCATATGGGATTCTATTATGGAAGAAATCCCAAAGGATTATAGCAAATGCAATGGTTGACACAGGGTTACACAACATTATCTGAGTGCCTACAGACCAAATCAAGAAACCAGTGTAACCTGGATGACGGATTACTCCATAAATCCCATAAGTGATTAATTTGTGATCATCTTCATGGTATCTTTGAATAATATGAGAAAAAGCCTTTCCAGCTGTTAAAATGGCAAGCTTCCTAATGGTTTCTCCAAGAATTACTAACATAAGTCCCGTGTTGCTTATTGACCAATTGGTTTTTAAACTGGGGAAGAAGTGTAGTTCGAGTAGGTATTCTAGCATGGATAAGATCATTGCTAAGAGGTAGTCTTTGCTGATTAAAAGAGACTCGATTGTTACTTTTGATTTCCCATGACATGCAATTGCTAAAAGGTATTCAGAGGCATGAAAGAAGAATACCGCGTACAAGAGTTGGGATAATTGTTTCTCAGATGTGTCCTTCAACATTTCTGTCATTTCTTCAACAAAGGCTATTGCCTATTAAGGGTTTACTTCAGACCTGAAAAGGAGAAGAAACAGCTTTACATCACTGATTATAATGTTGAAAGATGGTTATTGTAATTCATAGTTACATGCAGTGTATTTATGTATTTTTCTTAAAGGAGAAGATGAAACAAGCATAATCAATCCAGTTCCCTCTGACACATTCTAACTTTCTCCAGAAATATGCAGTCATGAAGCAAGGAATCAACTTCGTTTTCTTTCGTTTTTGCACGAACAATGAGCGAAATTGAAATGATTATCGGCTCTAAAATTAACACGAAGCTACAGTTCATAAATTGTGCGTTTATATAAAAATAAATACACAAATTTCTGACTCGGAACATCGGAACCTAATTAATTCAAGCATTTAATCTCCACAAACGAGTATAAAGAGCTTAATAAAGGAGAAAAAAATCAAAACAGATCCAGTAAACGCAACGGACCTAAACCTAGAAGAAATGTGGATTCTATTTATGTAATCAAACAAACATTTATACATGGCAATTAGCGTTACGTAAAAAGGAGGGAAATACTTACACAAAAGAAGTCAGGGATGGATCGAATTGAGAAGAGATCGAGTGTAATACTGTAGAGGAATAGTAAAAGCGTCGCCGCTCCGAGTAGCCTCCGATGAGAGCCTGAAGCGCCACCGTGGCTGGCATCCGTCGTAGATGTAGAGAGAGGCGTGAGGTGGTGAGATTAGTTTTGGAGAAGCCAAATACAGTTTGCAATGAAAATAAAAATGGCCCTTGAAGTTCTATTAATGCAAAAAGCGCCCCCATATTTAAATTTAATAAGAACCAAATTTTTATTTGAAAACTAAAAGGACCAAAAGTGTAATTAAATCATTTGAAAAAGTACCATAGCTTGATTTTATACCACTTGGTAAATGTAATACAGAAGTACCATAACTTGATTTTATACCACTCGGTAAATGTAATATAGTTTAATATAATTGTTAAAACCATGTATAAAAATGAGGATGTAAAATATAAAAAATTGTAAAATGAATTATAAAAAAGTTAAAAACAAAGTTATATAAAGATTTGAACCAAATTTATATATATATATATATATATATATATATATATATATATATATATATATATATATATATATATATATATATATATTAAAAAATAGCAAGAGACTACAAAAAAAGGTGGGTGGGTGGGGGGGGGGGGGGGGAGGTTTTACACCAAATTTATAAACTTTTTCTAAAATTAGGCCAAATATATAAAACTAAAAACCTTATAAAAATAAAAACATAGTTATATAAAGATCTGGACCAAACCTGTAAATAACATAAAAGCTAAACATAAACTATAAATAAATAAAAAAGCAAAAAAAAAAAAAAAAAAAAAAAAAAGACCAAATTAATAAACTTTTTCAAAATTGGGCAAATATGTGTATCCTCTATTCTGGTTATGAAAATATAAATTTAAAGCTTTCTTGTGATTTGTTTGGCACAAGGTACTACTATGTAAACACACCACGTACAAGCTCATTCACCGATCTCTTGAAAAAAATGTTTTTGATGGTCTATAATCTACCCTCAAAATGAACCATACATGTACCCTATTCCTTACTCGATCCACTATTTGCTCCAATTTTAAACTTCATCCATTGAATACGTTGTGATGACAGGGTCTTCTAATACAAAGACTCATGCACAGGTCAAAATTAGGGATGAGCATCGGAACCGGGTATCTGCTTTCGGAACCGGAACCGGCTTGGAACTGCCGGTTCCGAAACTGGAACCGCCTTAAGCGGTTCCGGTTCCGAAACTGGAACCGCCTTAAGCGGTTCCGGTTCCGGTTCCTAAAGTTACGGAACCGCCTTAAGTGGTTCCGGTTCCGGTTCTCGTTTTTTAGGAACCGCTACCCGCTGGGTAACCGCCGGAACCGGTATATATATATATATATATATATATATATATATATATATATATATATATATATATATATATATATATATATTGGTATCTAGTATGAATATATGTGTGCGCTATTTTGACCGATTTAGAAAATATTGATCCGATTTTGTCCATTTTTGTTCCGAATTTATTCGATTCCGACCGAAATAAATTATAGTTTTATTGAAATTTTTTAATAAATTTGATGTAACCGGGTTACCCGCTCCTGGAACCGGAACCGCCGGTTCTGGGACTGGTTCCAAAAATTGAAGAACTGCCTAGACCGGTTCCGGTTCCGGTTCTAACTTTCTAGGAACCGCCGGTTCCGGTTCCGGTTCCGGTTCTCGCCAAATGAGGCGGGTACCCGCCTACGCTCATCCCTAGTCAAAATTATCTCTTTTATCGGGTTTCATGGTCTCGTCACGAATTTCTCGCTGCTTAGAGCAACCATTTTTCTACGACGGAACTGAGAGAGAGGTAAAAATCAAGGTTGAAAGTTCGAAAGAAAGATTCGAAAATGATAAGGAATGATAGTAATTATGGGTATTTAATGCTAATTGCTTGACATTATTTATAGTCTATAAAATCATAAATATGCCATCAATACATGATTTAATATTTTGATATAATGCCTATAACAATACAATTCTAAAAAGTTTTTTAGTTATGCATATATTTACTCAATCTCTTACTCCATATATAATGAATTTATGTCGATGCAAGTGTGATAGAAAAATCGCTCGTCAATGGCACCCATGAAAACCTCATTTTTATTGCTAGTTTTTTGTATTGTCACAATAGATGCATTCCCAATTGCTAAGTCAAAAAACAAGGTTTGTCTAGTAAGATGGAAAATGTATATCATCGATGAAATAGGTGATCCTATCAATGTTCATATACAATCACATGATGATGATCTTGGAGTTCGAACACTTGTACCCAGAGCTATTTCAACTGGACTTTCTGTGTGAATTGGAATTCATCCACTCTATTTTACGCTCATTTCTACTGGAATTCTAAAGAATCTTTTTTTAATGTTTTTAGTATGTCCATTAGTAAGCAATATTGTAGGAATGATAAGTATTTGAAACCACAATGTATTTGGTTAGTCAGAGAAGATGAGTTTTATTTGTCCCAACTTAATAATCTGTTTCCACAAGGATGGACAAAGTTACATGATTGGTCGTCTTGACTAATTATTTACTTTAAGTTTACATATTAAAATATATTATAAAAAAATAAAATTAATTTCATCTAATTTTGAGTGTATGAGTGAGGATTTTATCCCTAAAACAATAATGCATACAAGTGGAGGGGAATCTCCATGGGTTGTAGCGGTTTCGTAATCTTGTATTTTAATTACTTAAAATGTAGAGAGGTAGAGAGGGATAGAGGGAAAGAAGCTCATTGGATGTGGTGGTTCGGACTTCCCACCACAATTGACCATGAAATCTTCAACCACTAGCTCTACCACTTAACACTCGGGTGGTGTTCACAACAGTGGTTTGTAGCCAGGCAGACCACGATGAGTTTCATGGCCAGTATACCAGTGAGCCTAAAAGGAATAGAGGAAGGGTGAAGTGAGTCCCCTTACCAACCATCCGCCAAATAGCAAACTTGTTAGTTTGAGATCCATTAAAATAACCAAAGTTCTACCAAATTTAATACTACCCGCAATCCACTTCCTCCATTTGTCCCCGAAATTCATTTGCCCAATATTGAATCTAGAAAATCTCAAAACATCTTTTCAATATCAACTTTAAAAATCATTTTTAATTTTGCCTTTTTCGTCTAACTACATATTTCATTGATAATGAACGGACCATAAGATGCTTTGCATTCCACATATGTCAATTGTTCGCAACTAACAACCGAGAGAATGACTTTTTTAGGCAGTTGCCGAGGATTTTATAAATGACTTTAACAAAACATAGGACAAAACTAAAGGGACGATAGTCTTTTTTAATGTTGTGGGATCTCGAAGAATCTTGAATCGTGAGAATATAAAGAGATATAAGAGGCATTACAACCTCTACAGTTTCCGTAAAAAAAAATGTGTTAACATACCATATTCACCTCTACTGGCATTGTTAATATAAAAACCAAAAATAAAAAATAAAACAATGTAAGAAGTCGGGTCAGCCCAATAATAGAGCTAAGTTCCACTGTAGATAAACTGATAAAAGCTCATCCAGGCCCGAATAACCAAATACCCGATCTGAATTCTGAACCAAAAAGACTTGTCCAAGTCGGGTTTTGAGGACATATCATGGGAGTGGTTGCAAAAGGGCAAGGCACAAAAACATGGCAGATAAAGGTACTGGCACGCTTGTATATTAGATAATATAGTAATACCCATGTACCTTATAAAAAGTAGGGAACACCCCCACCCCTACCCCTGGGTATATGGAATTGGGGCAGAGAATATCTACACACATGCTTGTCACCTTACTTTTTCAAGTACTGGAATCCATCTTTTCCTAAATAATAAAATCTCAAAACAGCAAAAAGACAGATGTGCTTTCTAGTTACAAGAAAATCGTGACCAAATTTTGGGTATGGAATATGGATTATTTCTGGACATTATTAACAATAACAGATAAATATTTAAACTTGTATTATTTTCATTAGAGGACCAAGCACGAGACAAGTAAACATTATGCATTAAGTTAAATTTTTTGTTTTTTTTTTTTTTTGCACATAACAAGAAAATTAATAGGCTCTACAGATTTATGCTCTACTTAAGTTGTAAGAGTACCTAAAAGTTTAATTCAGCTGAAAATTATTGGAAGCCATTGATGGGGACATGTTTCTTCCCCTGCTGCTGCTTTTTCCAGATTTACTCCTTCTAGTAGAGTTCCTAAATGGCGTCAAATACAGCCTTAATAAACCATTATTATCAAGATCACTAGTTGAATACCTTGTGCTCCTGTTCCTATCCAACACAAAGTTTCTTGAATTCATAGAATTTGTGTTTCGATCAAGTTTTGGATTTGAATTCACATTTTCTGGAATTTCTTCTAAGTTCTTCTTGTGACTCCATAGATTACACACCTTTCTCCATTTACTTGGTATTGCCTTTTTATGCGTGTTTGATGAGTTGTTGACTGATGTTGAAATCGGTGTGTTTGAAACAGATACAGATGCAATGTTGCTGTTCTTGGTTGATTTCAAATGCCAATCTTTTAATTCGTTTTCGGTGATCACCAGCTTTGTTCCTTGGAAGATAACATCGTTTGCAGGTGATACTCTGGCATTTGAGGCGGATTTCACTTCATCTCCTCCTAATCCGGTTGTTTTGGTGCTGAAACTCTTCATGGAGCTTGAACTGCTTCCTCTATTTGATGTAGACGCGTCTGAATTAGAGTTAGACTGACCAGAACTAGCTCCATCTTCACTTATGGAATGCATTTGCAGGTTTTCCATGGTGGTAGTTGTGCCCCTGTTTACAGGAGGAGGTATGATCATGCTGTCGACAATGGACAGCATTGGTGTAAGGCGAGGAATTGTTCTTGCGATCATGTATCCATCCCAAGAGGATCTGTGTTCATCAAAGGAAAATCTTGGATCTTCAACAGACAGTCTATGAGCATCGATTGAAAACCTGGGTTCTGTATCGCAAGATCGACGACCTAATCCGTAGTCTGCTACCTCAGATTGGGTATCTCTGAATTGCCCTAATTTCGACCTATCAATGTCGGTTCCGCCATTGCAGTCTCTGTTTTGCTTCTTTTGCTTCTGTTTTTGTCTCCATTTTCGTAACTTCTGACTGAACACAGAAGCTGTTTCCCAAAAATTCCTCCTCTTGTTCTGCAATTCGATATCAATGAACTCCTTCATCGTCTTCAGATCCCCTTCTTCAATGTCGCCATCATCATCAACTTCATTTCGCACAAAAACATCACCAGAAACCCTAATTCCATTGTTATCGTCATCGTCATCGTCATCGTGTTCTTCTTCGTCGTCGTCTTCTTCATCTTCCTTCGTCTCCAACACCGGCTCTGCAAAGCTCGAGAACCCTAAATTCCTCGATTCGACCCTCGCAACACCACCTCCTCCTTTCTTCGTATCATCGACGACGAACAGATCCGAGAGAGTACTACGACCTCTTACATCACACGACTTTCTCCGTTGATCCGTAACCAAACCGTTCAAACTCTCGCCTTTCTCAGCAGCAACAGACTTGCTCCGTCGCAGCCCCGGAGCAGCCGTGGACGAAGAAGCACCCGCGTGGCCTCTGGTACGGCGGCTACAAACGGCTACCTTCTCAACTTCAGCTTCAGCAGCAGATGAATCTAAACCGGCAAGACGGTCTCGTAGGCACAATGCACAGAACCCCGTCACGGGTTCACTAGGGTGACGGTGGCAGGCGGAGAGACGCCGAGGACGATTACGATTTCTGGTAGTGGTACGGATTTGGGGATCCGGCATCATTGACAGAAGCAGAAGCGTTGGTGTGTAACGGCTCAGAAATGGATCATAATTAAGGGTTTCTGTAAGAAATTGATTTTAGGGTAACTGTAGTAAGGCGTACTCTGTACTGCAAACCAGAGAGAGAGAGAGAGAGAGAGAGAGAGAGTGCTGACAAAAAGGAATCCGAGTATTAGCAGAGAAACCCTTCATAAACCTCACCACCCGCCATAGAAGAACAATATATCTTTTCGCTACATTATGTGGTTTAATAATAATAATAATGTTTTACCAAGTTTCACGTTTCTTCCCCCAACTTCATTTTTTTTTAATTGTCCAACATAACTTTATGTAAACGCTATGTGGTACTACCTACATGGTTTTGGGGTGCATCATATATATCCCCGCATGTGAAAGTCGTGCTCCTTACATTATATTTTGCAAGATTTACGTTGTAATATCGGTTTGGATTTGGATCGGAATATATTTTTCTTCAAACTCACCCGCAATGTTTTATTTGTGTAATCCTTATTATAATTAATTTTGATTAAGATATTAATCATTGAATCAATTTGAATTTCCTAACATTAACTGTAATTTATAGATGTAAACCTAAATAATTATGAAAAAAAAAAAAAAAAAAAACTTAAGAGGAAAAACCATGTACAACTAGATACACAAGATCATAAAGGGACTAACATATGTATGATGTGATCATTCACATAAAACAAGATGAATAGATGAAATTGTGATACTTCTTGCGACCAAGTAAGAGTTGACGACGCTTTGACTTCATGGATAAGCATCGTAAACCTTCCAAAAGCTTTCAGATAATGCCGACTCCTAGGATTTTACCTAGTAAACAAAGTGTGATGTGGCAACCTATGATACGTTAGATGTCGTCATTAGTTTGGTTTTTTAGGGTTTTTAGATTAATATAAACGTGACTTCTCATGTCCTATTTTTTCAACACGAAAAAATCTAAGATCTCTTCTCCTCTCTGCTCTCTATGTGAATTCGGCTAGCATGTTGTTCTAGATACTCTCTTCTGTTGTGTTTCCAAGTATTCGTTTTGCGTTTATCGATTCTTTTATAGTTGTTGAAAAGAACGATAATCTGAATTAACTCATAGGGTTTTACCTAACACTTACAACCATAGAGTGTCACAAAGTACATGCAGTAGGGGTGTTCAAAAAAATATTCGTCTCTGGAATCAGATGCAAATTTGTCTGAATTTATGAATATTCTATTTTTCGGATTTGGATAGTCATTTTATTAGTTTTTGGGTATATAATAATCGAAATATTTATTTTTCTAATTCAAAAAAAAAAAAATAATGACTTATGTTTTTTCATTTAAATTTTTTAATACTAAGGTTATGTTATAGAGCCTTTTCATTTAGTTTTTGTTTATGGTAAGTTAATCTATTTTACATAAGTAGCTAATTAATCAAATAAAAATAAATAAAACAATCGTGCTTTATGGTATGAAATTTTGGATATATGGTTTTGAACACCTTTTAACTTTAAAAAGATGATGATATTATACTTTTGAATTGATGGCAGTAACAATGGGGGATGTTAAATTTACGGTTATTTTAACCAACCTACAAATTCGTTGATGTTGTTATCTTATTTATTTAATAATTTAATACATATTTATCGGGTTATAAAGGATGTTTGATACACTCAATATGGGCATTATTTTAGCATGTTGACTAAAATTAGAACCAGAACAAATCATTATGTAATCCAGGTCTAAGAGTATGTATAGAGAAACTTATCAGGTTCCATTGGCATTAGAACATTAGAACATGGGTAAAAGCGAAGAAAACAGAGGTGGAACATTTATGATAAAAGAAAGCTTGGGTGTGAAATGTATCAAAAGTGAAAAGTAAGGGGGCTAAAAAGTGAAACTTAATATTCTGAGATCTGGAAACTTTACTCCGGTGGTACTAGACTCTTGGTACCTTGTGTGAGTGTGGTTTAGAGTTGCCGCTGACCGCGGGCAGCCAACAGGATGCACGTGCATTCTGCCCAAACATAGGGAAGTGTGCGTATGCATTACCCGAAATACGATGCCTCGTGTAACCTCATTTATCGGGACTTTGGATACTTTCGTGAAGAAGTAAAGGTATCTTCTCCAAACAAAATACTAACAACAAATGTCAAATATCAAATAATCTTTAATATTAGTACAAAATATCAACACAGCATCCAACATTTTACAATACAACTGGAAATCACATATTTGACTAGATTTTAAAAATGGTACATGTGGTTTAGGCCGTTGCTAGTACCGGCAACAAGCACGTTCAAGATTTACGTGGCAGACTATTGACTGTGAACTCCATTCCATTGGTATGTGATGGTAGATTTCGAGTTTTTAGAATATCAATAAACTTTGATATTTTTTAGGATCCTGATTGCAATCATTTTTTAAAATCTGTTATTTTGATCTTATGGTTTTGGGTATCACTAAATTAGATTTGAATAATCTAAAAATGACAATTTAAAAGTCATGTCACTTTTGAATTGCTTATGATCAATTTCATATACATGAGAGTTCAACCCTTTTTCTGAAACTTTTACATTCCATTTATACAAGGAATAAAGTGGTTAAAATTCGGTTACACTAAAGTTAACGCAAAAAACGGTAGTTTTTGGACATAGTTGACGCTTACATCATCATGATGTCATAAGTAAGTTTTAACGGAAAAGTGCATAGTTGGAGTCATTCATGATACTATAAAAAAATATGTTTAGGTTTCGAGGCGCTATCCCTTGACCCTATCCGCTAACGGAACCACCGCTAGGGAATCTTCCCATTGGGCCCCATTAGGGAGCTGCCCCTGGAACCCGTCGGGGGAGTTGCCCCTTGGAACCTTGTACCTAGGAAAGCTGCCCTCGGACCCCCGTATCCCAAGTTCATATTTATCATTCCGAGTGTGCACGATACACCTCCAATCTCGGTGAGTAACAGAACTCAACCTATCTCAGTAGTAATACTAACTACATTAAAATATGTTGATAACACTAAAATCACCAACATGTGATACGCCATGGTCGTGGTTAATTGTGGTTTACAGTATGAGTTACAATGGCGAATATAAAGAAAGTGACGTCTGACTTCGCTAACTAGCCATCAACGGTTATAATTCGATTTTTTTACTTTTTTTTTAATATATATTTATTATACATACCACTCCATACAGCCATATGTTTACACCATTTTCTTCTTCATCTATTTGGACAAACATTTTCTAAAGTTTTACTTGTTTGAGAAAAACAAAGATTGCATGGTTATGGACAGATACATCATGGGTTGATTCAGAGCAACATTAGATTTGGGGATGGTCTTGTCAATTAAGAAGTGGAAGGGAGATGCTCGAGTTTAGAAACTTTCTAACATATTCGCTAATTTCTAGTTGTGTGGTGCTTTTGACAAATGGATGTGGATGGGTGGCTCGACAGGGTATTCTCAGTTAAATCATTGAGAAATATTATTGACTATTCAGGTTCTTGTGAGGTGATGAATTGCAATTGGGTTAATTGGCTTTCTTTGAAAATTAATTACTTCGTTTGGAGATTGTTTAAAGAAAGGTTAACAACACATCATAATCTAATCAAAAAAGGCATTCACATCTCCTCCAACCTTTGTTCCTTCTGTAACTCTGTTGAGGAAAGCATCGAGCACGCTTTTTTCTCCTATAGCTTCGTTACATACATGTGGAATTGGTTGATCAAATGGTGTGGTCTTATTGGAGATGGTTCGACTTCTTTGATGTATTTGATGGAGCTCCATGATTCAATTGCAACTGGAAAGAACTAGAAGAAATTGGTTTTGGCAATCATTTATACTACCCTTTGAATTAGTTGGAAGGTGTGTAATGCTTTGATCTTCAAAAATGAAAGGCGAGTTGGTATGTCGGTGGCGGATGATATTTGCAGTGGTTCTATTGATTATATCAGTTCAGTTCTAAGTTTCGTAATGTAGATTGGTTTGTTTGTTGTATGTCCCCGACTTTAAACTATATTGTTTCCTAATTTGAGCTTCTTGCTTAAGTCCTTTATTTTTTGTGCTAATGCAATTTGTCCATCGTTCAAAAAAACATATACACATTTCTATTGTGTAACGTCCCAAAATTTGCAATAAAATTTAACTTTTTAAAACAACATAAGTTTAACTAAAAATCATAACTTTTATTAAAGAAAGTTTCAAAACCAATCCCCGATATCAAAATAATACAAAAATATCATTGTAAATTTATAAGCTTTAAAACGAAAAGAAAAACATAGTCCAACGTATTATAAAATATATGGTAGGTGCATTTTATTCACTTATTTTGCATGTTTATTCTCGTCATTTCATAGCATTCTACTCCATAATTCTTGCATTTAGTTAATTATTTGGAAATTTGCATATTTTATTGACTATTATATGTGCATCTTATGCACCTATTTGGCATGTTTATTCCTGTCCTTTCATAGCATTCAATTTCATAATTTTTGCATTTAGTTAATTATTTGAGCAACTGCATATTTTATTGAGAATGCCTAGTACTTCACTATTTTTGATTTATTTTGTAACCATTATGGAACATGGAGTTTGGAGCATAGAGCATGGATCTTGAAGCTTTGAACATTGGAGCTTGAAGATAAGATGGACTGATTATGCAATGGAATAAAGCATGAAGATATAATATGAGTCGTTGCATATCATCATAGCAAATGAGTATGTTTGAAACACGGGTCGTGTCACACCGACACGTGTCGTGTTTGTCATTTTTATCACATATTTAAGCAACATGACTCATGGTGAAGGTAGACCGGAGATGGAGCCAAGTGTGAAGACTTATTGGAATTTTATCAAAAAGGCATGGTCATGTTAAAAACACATGGTCAAAACACAAGGCAATGCTAAAAACACATGGTCATGCTAAAATACATGGTCATGATAAAATTACATAGGCAAAAAGGCATGACCATGCTAAAAACGCATGGTCTTATGGCAAGCACGTAAGT